CAATTTTAGTTTTAAAACTGCGTGTTATACGCCGATAAATACGGTATATAGCTATAACAACATTATTTTCTCTGGGAATCAAGGACGATTCAGCCTGCACCTGGAGTGGCAGACTGGGAAGCATCTCCAGTTGGGATGGTGGAGTGCTTGGACCATGCTTGAACTTGTGGGTGCAGGGGAAGGGATTTTACTTTCTTTTGGGTGGGAAAAACCTGGAAGCTTTCAGATTCAGGTTTTCCCAGATGTGCCAATATGACATCTCTAATAAAATGGAATTTTGAGGAACTTCTAGCCTTGGAATCTTCTTTCGTTGGGAGAGAGAGAAGAGAAGATGTAGAGAATTGTGGAAATAAAGATTTAAAAAGAAATTTATAAGTTAAAGGCATTTGGTAATGATTTGATTTAGTGATCTGGAGGATCCACCAAAGGGAAGAGACATTAATAGGAAAATTTTAAAAAAAATGGTACACTAGCAGGTTTTAAAATGTTAACAAAAGATAGCAAAAAGATAAAAACAGAATTGATGAAGAAAACAGGGTTTAAGATTGAGAGAAAAGTAAAGTATTTGGGTATCACCATGACAAATGTGAATTATATGTTATTTTAAAATAATTACATTAAGATATGGAATGAAGCTTTAAAAGATATGTTAAGATGGGAGAAATCAGTGAGAACAATTTCTGTGATAAAACTTGTCCATCTAGGTTCAGTTCCAAGTGGGGAAAAAGACACTGGAAATACGGAGGCTGCTTGGAAGGATGGTTTAATGGAGCAGAACCATTAAGCACATGGTTCTTCTGCAGCTGAACAAATGGAGTGGAGAATGAGTGTTATTTATACCCTCTCTTGGGCTTTGAACCTGAGCTTTCTGTTCCTGTGGCAACGGCAGGTATTCTATTGGTTGCTATAGGGGTCATGTGCAAATCCTAGGAGTTTGTCTGAGATAAGTTTGGTTGAACTGTGCTGAGTGATGTAATATCCCCAGGACCCAGGCGCCATGTGGTAAACTCTGTTGCTAGATGGGTAGAGGGCTAATCCTATTATGTTCAGAGGGTCATGTTTTAATCCCATCACCCTGGAGCTGGAGGCCTTTTGTTTTGTAGATTGGATGGCCCAGTTTTTCTGGGGCTATTAACAAAGGTGGGGGCTGCTTTCCAAGAGCATGTTTCTCCTTTTCTCATGCAGGGAGCTAGTCTTCCTTTTTAATATTTCCTAAAATATTTCATTCTTCTAGGAGGCGTGGGTGCTAACTTTCTACAAACCATTTTTAAATATTTCAATAAAATTATATTTAAAAATAATGTATTATTTAGACAACTTCCATGATATATTGATTTATTTTAATATCTATTGCTTTTTGCCTGTTTCATTTTATTTTTTGTATTTTTTATTTTTTTCCTTTTCTTAAAATATAAGATAGAGAAAATCTTCTCACCTCCATATGTATTAGCTTCTTCTGAAGTAACGCTGATTTCCCTTGCTAATACCATGTCTTTATCCACTAAAGATAATCTAAAAATATAGAACACATCTTAGTTTTAGTTTCTATCACCCATATAAGGATTGAAATTGACAATGCAGAAAGTAAATGTTTCCAAGACAGAGAGATTATGTAAATATATCTCAGTTGTATTTCTAGCTATGAGACTGACCAAGTACCTGTTAAGTCAAAAATGCAGGAGATTCTGACTTCCTTTCCTTACACTAGGCAAGCAATGTTATATTTAAGGTATCATTCTTATTGAAGTGCAATAAATATTCTAATGTAGCAGAATCTCTGAGAAACTTGTGTCAAGTTAAGACAAATAATGAATTAAGGGGTTGTATCTGGACAGCTGTAATTTAGTACTGGACTCAGTTATAAATCTTGACAGCAAAAGTTATTACTAAATACAACTTATCTCTGGTAACTCCAGTTTTTATTAGTTTTCAACATGCTGAAGTCCTTATTTGGGCAATCAAAAGAGGTTCTTTGTACAGTATATATTTCAAAATAGTTAAAGCAGGACAATATATCACTGATGCTACCATTAACTCTAATATTTCATACAGGTTATTACCACCTACAGCTTGTCTTTTGTAGCTCCAGTTTTTACCAGTTCTCAAACAGTTGTTATCCTGACTTACTATACTTTGTACAAAGTATATCTTTAAAAATAGTTAAAGCAGAATAATATTTCGTAGAGGAGCAAGGTCTTATTACAAGTGAACAAAATATTGAAAGAACCAATCCAAGAAGAAAACCTTCAGCAATCCGACATCCAGGAACCTAGACTACATTGGGGAGATAAAAGAGAGGACTGAACACTTCTGACTCCAAAATCAGTGTTATTTTTTTTCTCAATGAGCTAAAAAAAATGGACTTTGTTCTTATGAATAACATTATTTTTTCTGTTGTATCTCCCACATCCATTCAAGACCATTTTAAAAAGTGGGTCTCCTACATTAATCTGTCTGCAAGTGCCACTATCTCACCCTTTCCCTTCACATAGTCTCTAAATACTTCCTTTAATAGTCAGGTCATCATAGCTTTTGTAAAGCCTATCAGGAAAGGGGTAGGGCAGATAATTAAGCTGTTCCACAGCAGGGGCCATCATTGAGAAGTAACCATTAAAAATCTATAGATGACATTCCCTTACAGGATGGATACTTTAATCATGTTTATGTGAGGCTTCACTATTCTGAAGTCAGAGTGCCCCATTTCTAATTAGTTAGCCTTGATTACAAATACAGGTTTTGTGCTAAACAGAAATAGTAATTTTCTCTGGTAAATGTAGAGCCATAATTAGGAACGTAACATAGTAGACTGTGCATTCTCATTAAGTGCTAAACATATTGTGAAAAATACTCTAAATTAACAAGTAGAAAAACAGATTGCCCAAGACATATGTTTTCAAAAATATCAGATATATAACTGCTGGTAAACTAAAACATGGAGGTGTTTTGAACATGCAGTAAGCAACTTAAGGGCATGGGACAACTGGCTATTCTCAAAAGTGTAATGAAATACACAATACTATCCAACTGCCAATGTTTGAATTATACTGAACTTGTTTGCTTAGTTTCAAAACACAGGATGGAAGGCAGACTTTTTCTTATCTGTCTCAGGAAGTAAGTGTCTTGGATTGGGCAAAATACAACTGATAAAAACTATTAATTAATGAACTCATACATTATCATTTCCTGTATAATGTTTAAGTATTCCAAAAAATGTTTGCAAACTATATTTTTAAAAAGATCCATGGATACAGTGATGAAAGAAATGTCCTTCTGGGTTTGGCTCCAAGTGGAGCCTTTCTTTCAACTTCAAGATGCAGGAGGGGAAAAAAAGAGCGAAAAAGATGGAATTAAGAAGACAAATATATCCAGAAACAA